AAAAAAGGAAGCAGGGAAAGAACATCACAAGGGTAGACAAGGATATTATGAAAGACTGGGATACGCATGGATGGAAATAGAGAGAAAGAGAGAAATGGGGCTGAGTATGAGAGAAGAGTTGTGTATGCGTGACAGAGACATAGATAAACAAGAGAGAAGAGCGCGTGTAAGTAATTCTAGGTACAATGCAGACTATAGAAAGAATACAGAAACAATACCACAGTACCTAGACAGAGAAAGCGAGAAAGAAAAAAAAATAATTGCGAGATTTAGGTGTGGAAATGAAGAAAGAAATAATAAGTTTTGGGTAAGCGAAGGTGAGAGAATGTTTAGGATGTGTGGAGAAGGGCGAGAGACGATAGAGCACATGCTGCATGACTGTGAGGAGAGCAAAGAAACAGAGGAGAGTGTGACAGAGATATTGAATGAAGACGGAAGAGGGGTGGAATGGATGAAAGAAGTGGAGAGAACAAGAGTAAGGCTGGGGCAAGGGGGGATGGGGTAAAGGAAAGAAAAATTAGTTATTTAGTTTATAAAATGTATTTATTTGGTTTTTGTTAACTAGGGAAAAAAATTGTAGTGTCAAGAATCTTTTTAAGCCCGTAGGGTAAAAAATAAACACTTACTACTACTACATAAACGATGCAAATACAAAATATTATTCAATTATTGTGGATTCTACTCCAGATTTGTCCCACACGGACCAACTGGCAATTATTTTGAGATACACTTCCCAAGGACAAGTTTTTGAAAGATTTTTATCATTTATACCAATTGACAGTCACACGGGAAAGAATTTATTTAATACAATAGATTTATTTTTAGAAGAAAATGGTCTTTCAATGAAAAATTGTCGAGGGCATTCTTATGACAATGCTGCGAATATGAGTGAAAAATATAATGGACTTCAAGCACGTGTTAAGGAAATTAACAAGTTCGCGGATTATGTACCATGTGCAGCTCACTCTTTAAATTTGGTAGGAGTCGAAGCTGCAAGTGTCGTACCCGATGTAATCAGCTCCTTTGGGGTTGTACAACAACTGTACGTGTTTTTTCGGCTTCACCTCAGCGGTGGAATTTGTTAAATCAACAGTGGCGTAAATAGCACCCCCGCAGACCCCGCAATGCGGGGGGGCGCAGCGTCAATGTGGAATTTTTAAAGAAGGGGTTTTCATTGGAATTGAAAATGAGATCAGGTAAATTAATAGCTATTTAACGAACAAGTTTGTTAATAAAGGCGATTAATATTCGAGATATTTTAACGCGCGAGGAACGAGATTTATATTTTTTCTTTTTCTCAATTTGAAATTTTTCAGTTTTTGGATTTTTCAATTTTTTTTGTTTTCAATTTTTCGTTTCTTCAATTTTTGATTTGCAGGTTTTCTAGTTTTCATTTTAGATATGTAATAATAATTATATCAATTTTTCGTTTTTGGAATTTTTTAATTTTTCGATCTTGGAATGTTAGTTTTTGGACTTTACATTTTTCTATTTAATTCGTTCTTTGATTCATTAATTTTTTCTCGATTTTTAGTTTTTCGATGTTTCTATTTTTCGTTTCTTCAGTTCTACAGTTTTGTCAAATAAATGTTATATAAATTAAAAAAAAGTAACAGTGTACCTATGGTTTATGAATCCGTGTTGGATTTTTATCTTCGACATCGAAATTTTTGTGGAAAAATAAAACAAAATTGAATTACAATTTGTCGATTTCTTGATTTCTCGATTTTTAGTTTACTTAATTTTTCGATATTTCAGTTTTACTATTTTTCAATTTTTGCCTTTTTTAAATTTTCATTTTTACATTACTCAATTTCTCTATTACTCAATTCTTTGATTTTTCGATTTTTCCTCTTTCCAATTTATCGATTTTTAAAGTTTCCGTTGTTCCAATTTTGGGATTTTTCAATATCTCCAATTTTTTAATTTAAAATTTTTCACTTTTTTGATATTTCGATTTCTCGAGGTTTCGATTTTTAAAATTTCTGATTTTTTGAATTTTGAATATTTTGATTTATCGTTTTTTTTTTTAAGTTTAAATATGTATTTTAGTTTTAAATTTTCCGGTTTTTCGATTTCGGGCTATTTCGATTTCTCCATTTCTCGGATGTTTTGATGTCTCAATTTTTTAATTTCGATTTCTCGGCTTTTCCATTTTACAATTTTTTATTTCTTCAAGTTTTTAGATTTTTAACATTCTCCATTTTTCGATTTTATGTTTTGTTATGCTTCGATCTCCCGATTTTAACCTTTTTAATGTGTATTCCAATTTTTCGATTTTGGAATTTTCGATTTCTTACATCTCGATTTTTCAATTTTAAAATGTTTTTACTTTTCGTTCTTTTTTTCGATTTCTGGATTTTTCAAGTTTTCGATTTCTCAATTTTTCAACATTTCAATTTTGAGAATGTCTTATATTTTTCAGTTTTTTGATATTTTCATTTTTCAACTATTTAAATTTTGATTATATAATATACCGGAAATCGATTTTTGGGTTTTTCAATTTTTCGACTTTTCAGTTTTGAGATTTTTCAATTTGTCTATTTTTTAGTTTTTCATTTCTTCAGTTTTTCGGTTTTTCAAGTTTTCGAATTTTTAAATTTAAAATTTTTCAATTTTTCGATTTTATTTTTTTTACGTTCCGATTTCCCGCTTTTATTTTTTTTATGCTTTTCAATCTTTGGTTTTTCTAAATTTTCATTTTTCCATTCCTCGATTTCTCGATTCTTCGACTTTTTAATTTTGTGTTTTTTTTTAATGTTAAATTTTTCGTTATTGTAATTTTTCTATTTTTTAAATTTTAGATATTTAGATTTTTCGACATCTTGAATTCTCGATCTTTTTTCAGTTTGAATTCCTCGTTTTTTCGATATTTCAATCTTTCGACTTTTCAGTTTAAAAAGTTTCGATTTCTCGATTTTTCAGTTTTTGATTTTCCAACTTTTAGATGTTTCAAATTTTAGAGTTTGCAAATTTCACGAGTTTTCAGTTTTTAATTTCGTCAACTTTTCGATTTGCAATTTTTCGTGTAGGTTTTTAATTTTCTTTATTTTTTCAATTTTCGGCTTTCAATTTTCCGTTTCTTTAATTTTTCATTTGCAGTTTTTCTAGTTTTCATTTTAATTATGTAACACTTCTAATAATTATAATTTTTAAAGTTGTTCACTTTTTCAGTTTTTCGTTTTTGAAATTTTTCAAATTTTCGGTGTTTGAATGTCACAGTTTTTGGACTTTACAGTTTTCAAGATTCTATGATTTTTCGAGTTTACAATTTTTGGATTTTCCAATTTTTCAATTCGAATGGTTTTTCTTCTTTCCCATTCTTCGATTCATTAATTTTTTTTAGATTTTTAAGTTTCTCGGTTTTTACTTTTTCATTGTTTCAATTTTTCACTTTTCGAATAAACAAAATCGAAAAATTATAAAATAGAAAAATTATAAAACTGAAAAAGTACAAATTCATTCGGAAAATAAAAAAATTGGAAATCAAGAACTTAAAAAATCAAAGATTGAAAATGTAAAAAATTGAATAAACAGAAAATTATAAAATCCAAAGAAACATTGAAAAAATAAAGGTAATGGAAAAATGAAAAATTGTGATATAAAATCAAGAAAATGAAAATTACAAAATCGGGAAAATGAAAATATGCAAAATCTGAAAAATATAGAAATTGAAAAATTCCCAAAATTGCGATGTTGAAAAATTGAGATAGCCAAAAATTTAAAAATCGAGAAATCGAAAATTCCAAAAATGGAAAAATTGAAACACATTAAAAAATAAAAATCGGGAAATTGAAACATAAAGATTATAAAAGCGAAAAATGGAAAATTTAAAAAATCGAAAATTTAAAATATACCTATACTAGAAAAATCTAAAATTTTGAAAATCGAAAAACCAAGAAATCGAAATCGAAAACTTGAGACTTCAAAAGATCGAGAAATCGAAATAGGCCGAAATCGGAAAATTCAAAATTGACATATTTACTTAAAAAAAAAACGGAAAAATCGAAAAACTAAAAAAATCGATAAACCTAGATATGAGAAACAGAAAATTCCAAAAATCGAAAAATTGATATACAGAGTAAAAAATTTAAAAAATCGAAGTTAAAAAATCGTAAAAACAAATTCCATTCGATTTTCCGTTTTATCGATTTTGCAATTTTTTGTTTTTTCAATTTTTTCCAATTTTGAAAAAATCATCGACTTGACAACAATGAATGGCTTATGACGTCACGCCCAAAGGTGCACGTGATTTCAATATTAATTTTTAATCATTTATTGCTACACTATAAATAATCACATGCACTTTTTACAACAATACCCTTGTTTTATGAGTTGTGCTGAATCATTTTCTGGCTTTACACAAAAACGTGCAAGATGCCTATTCCAATGGTTGTTTCTGGAAATTTTAATGTAAGATTTGATAAAGGTGAGGGTCTTCAATTACTACAGTTTTTCAAAGACACACTGATGTTGGACATAATTAGTAGTTGACTGTTCCAACGACTACTTAAATTAGGTACTTCACTTGACGTTGTTTTCACACGCTTTATTACACATTCAAGAACTGATAATAATTATATCAGTCATTTTATTAGTCACCATAGACCACTTCTAACTACATTAAATGATAGGAATAAAGATAAGATGATAATCGCTCTAACATTTGTAAATATTTACTTCTGTATGATAAATAAATAATACAAAGTATATTTTATAATAAACAACAATTGACAATACATGGATTACTTTAATTAACCCAATCATTGTCATTATTCATCATTTTGTGAAAAATACAAGTGTAACATATTTTTGGTTTTTATTATTTTTTAAGAGAAAATTAATGACTTCGCCGCGTGTACCTACGTGTTTAATTAATACACAATTACATTCCGTATAACGTATTACTAATGACATTGTCAATGTAAATAATCAATTCTCTTTCATTGTTCAAAAACTACTGATTTCTTTACGGCACCAATTAAATTAAAACACTAGGCAATTTTGTAAACTTTTATTAAAACAAAAAAACATAAAAGGCACGCTTTAAATTTGTACGGGGAAATAATAACTGTAGAAAATATTACAACAGATTTCGAGCAACATGAGTATCACATAACAAGCCAGGGCAATCCATCGTTTTATGTTTCCTTTCTCTTTAAGTTTTTGATCCTTTGAAACAACTATGCTGACTAAAAAACCTGCCATAACCGCAAAAAAATGAGTAAGCCATGCAATTTCATACTTGTTGTCAATGGAATCAATAAGGATTCCAATGATAACACTAACGAACATTATGAGTTGCATTTTTCGATAGGGCATTTTCTTCCAATTCTAAAAAAGTGTTATATTTGTATTGTCAAAAGTACAATTTTTGGTTTACCATGATTATGACAGGGATATAGGCAGTGATAATGGACAAGACACCGCCGCTGGCCCCCACCACTGAGTGAATGGGATCTCCCAGGGAACCTGCAACCACTCCTGCGAAATAAATAACGAAAACCCGCCACCAGCCCTGGTTCTTTTCAAGAAAGTTGCCGTAGACGATTTGGAGGAACAGATTTGAAATAAAATGTCCATAACTTTGAGAAAAACAAACATTTTCAACCATTCTATAATAATTAAATACTCACTCTTTATGCACGAACATGTACGTCAAGTACCTCCAAAACTCGTATCTCTTCATCGGGTCATAAGTAAACAGCTTGGCTATGGGTCCCGTCGCAGAATTCGTGGAGTCGACATTTTTAATTATTTCATCAATCAAGAAAAAAAATAATTGGATACAAGAAATAATTATCAATCCGAAACTAGGCGGCCACCACAATTTCCACATAGTTTGCAAATTTGACTCCTCTGATTCGGCATTATTCGGATTCTGGGGGTTAACTGCGCCTTCGCGATGGTCTAGGTGTCTATCGTGGTCGACGTGGGCCTGAACACGAAAAATACGGGCTGTAAGTCGTCAATTTTCGTCCTTATATTCTCATTAATACGGATCAGCGTTGTCAACATTTGTGTCATTTCTGGGTATTCTCTCACAAGGTTGAAACTAAGGGTTGAAAATACTCACCTCGTCAAACCTTAACGTCTGAATATTTTCGTCATCATTCTGTATTGGCACAATTGTCGAAGAATGTGATTCCATGTCTCACTATAACTTGTCACAATGTAGAAACGAGACAGCTTATCTACTATACGTCACAAATAAAGTGCAAAATTTTGTGAGCCCTTCCACCGCAAAACAATCACGTCAATTGGAAACCTGAGATACCTGTCTGGTCAGGGAAACATTTTTCCGATGATTTCTTAGATAAGGTTAGTTTATTTCATTTAATTTATAAGTTTATCGTTTATCAGACAGTGTAGGTATAATTATGATAATGATTTGTTTTACAGAAACCTTGACTCATCCGTTATCTCTTCTGAACTTTTTCCCAATAGTTTCATTGTACATACCGGGTGTCCCACGTAACACTTTCGGGCTCAATAACTCACAAATTAAATGCACTGTTCTATTTTTAAACGCTCAGTAAATACTTATAGTTAAATTAGAAAATACTGTGCAGTTTTAATTGATCGCGACTGATTTTATAACTATGCAAATTATATCTATTCATAAATCAATTTATTTTTTAAACTGTGTGAAAATCTGTTAAATACTGATCATACATATTTTTTTTACAGATCTCAAATAAATACCGAGCGTTTTATTACTGCTCTTTAGATAAGAAGGATTTGATACGATCGGTAATATACAGAAAGAAATGGTATTAGGGTTTTGAATTTTGATGAATAATTTTAAACTTACATGAATATAAATTATAATTGTGCGGATTACGAAAACTGAAAACCCTAAGATAAGAGTTACCTACTAAATGTTCCTTCTAAGAATTTGCTATTAGCATTATCGGATCTTGTGCCTTCTTCGATAATAATCGACTGAACGTTCATCAATTAAGAACTGAGGAATTATCTGAGAGATTATAGTTACTATTTTGTCGCTTAAATGCAAACGCCAATAATGAAATGACGAAGATAACGAAATCGGTCACTGCACTCGGCCTCTGTTTTAGATGTGAATCGCGGCATTTTGATGGTTCTTGGAAGTTTTCGGATGACGCGCGTACTTTAATAAGACTTTAAGACTTGCCATAGTTAATGAATAATCACGTAGTAATCTTAAATTGGTATTTTCACTTTTACTCTTGTTTTAAGGTCCGGAAACTTCTTTTCCTAATATTATAATAGTTTTTTTTTTATTATTTTAATTTGTTTGTATAGATTCTAATCATCCCAAATTTTATTATTGTAATTTAGGGTAATAGGGGATGATCCTTGTGAAAAGTACCATTCGTAGATTGGACCTCATACGTCCATGTCCTACCTAAGTATTTAACGTAATACTTGCAATTATTCACTGATATTTAATTTAAGTTTTGTGCTAATATTTTATTGATCAGGGATAGGAAAAGATTATTTAAGGATATTTCGAGTAGCTTTTTTGTTTTAAATAACTTTAAGAAGACGTAGATATTTGGCCCTTTTGTAGCAACTGTTGATTGGCATACCTATATCTAAATAAATTGAAGTAAATAGTAATTATTTTAGTTTTGTATTATCAAGTAGAGATTATTATTATTTAGCGGACGCGTCAAATATAGATTTTCGGTATTGTAGCCTTAAGAATGCAATTATATTTAATCTTTGTCTAAGGACTTACAATTTTAACTATTACTTCTGTTAAATTTATACTTAATACACTTTTTAAATGAAGAACATATCTTACTTATTACCTCTCCCTGACTGCAATCTAGCTATCCATTTCCAAGGAAATGGGCCTACACCCAAATAAATAATTTGATTAGTGTCCATGCTTGGCCACCGATAATAACACAGATGGACACGACATACTGTTCCAAATAATACCCGACGGAGACAGTAGTGTCTACCATAAATTACTGTTATCATCTCCGTATGGCCCACCAGAGGCGGATCTAAACTGTTGGGGGCCCGATGCTATTATTTAATTGGGGCCCCATTTATGAATAGAAGTTTGTTAGAAACATTTAATTTACACATTTTCAATACTTTAATATAAAAAAACAATAACAAAAAATACAAAATATAATAAACAAACAGAAACAAATTATATAACAATTTTCTTTCTGCACTTCGTATGGCGCTGTCATTCTCAATAATTGCAAGAATCGACAAAGAACTTAGTCTTTCGTTTTTCATTGTCGATCTATATTTATTTTTAATGAAATAATACAAATGAGGTTTTTTTGAGAAAATTATCTTTGAATTTAGACTAAATTGAAATAGACACTAGGCAACAAGCACATTTGGGCAAAAGAAAGAGAAATTAGAGTTACGGCTTCAAATTTTGGACGGATTCACAAACTTAGACCGACTACAGCAACAACTAAAACTGTGGAGTCTCTGTTGTACAGTACATTTAGAGGTAATACTCATACATACTATGGACAACTAAGTGAAGAAAAAGCTGTCAAGTGTTTTGAAATAAATAAAAGTATAAAAACTGAACAGTGTGGCTTGTTAATTTCAAAACAATTTCCTTACTTGGCTGCTAGTCCAGACAGGGTTCTAGACGATAGGAGTACATTAGTCGAAATTAAATGACCTTCAAAATCGCAAGAATTGTCTCCCGAAGAAACCGTTAGAAAAAAAAAATCAAATTTTGTACATTGACAGACAGAGAATTGAAACTAAAAAAAAATCATGATTACTACTTTCAAGTTCAGGGACAAATGCTTGTTACGGGTATTTCACAAGTTCATTTTGTTGTGTGGACATCCAAAGGCATAAATATAGAAAAAATTTATAAAGACGAAATTTTTTAAAATAAATAAAATTTGTTTCTATTTTTTTATGTACCTAATTTAATAATTTATTAGAAGTACATTTTTCATCACCAAGACTTGCATATTTTTATTATAAATATATTTTGAAAATGATCTCTCGGCAAATGATAACATATACGAGCACTTTTTTCGAGTAAACAGTGAAGGGAGAAGTTACTGTAAGTGTTTATTTTTTTACCCTACGGGCTTAAAAAGATTTTTTTCACTAGCAGCCTGGACGCATGCAAATGTTGACTCATTTAGTGGTAGCAAATTCAACTTTTGCTACCACGGGTTCAAAAAGAAAAATTGAGGTTATGTACGCAATGTTTGATGTGATTATTTCTTAAAAAATGAATAAATGTGTGCTACAAACATTACTTGAGTATACGCATGGTAGTTGGTAGACGGTAGAAGATAAAATGATTAACTCAGCGACAAGTATAAACGGTTTTCTTTGTGTTGAAGATTTAGATTAAGTTTGATTAGAAATCAAAACAAAATCATGTTGCGTCAAAAAATTGAACGTTTATTTTTCAGTTTATTGTCTTATGGTTTCTACTAGTGAAAAAAAGAGTATATTAACCACGGTTGCAAAGCCACTTCTAGACCTCGCACTTAGAGTCCTCGACGCTGCGCGTCTCGGGTTCTAATTTGCGCTCGGTCTAGAATGCTTGGCTCTGCAACCTTGGCTAATAATATACTATTTGACACTACATTTTTTTTCCCTAGTTAACAAAAAAAAACCAAATAGATACATTTTATAAACTAAATAACTAATTTTTCTTTCCTTTACCCCATCCCGCCTTGCTCCAGCCTTACTCTTGTCCTCCCCACTTCTTTCATCCATTCCACCCCTCTTCCGTCTTCATTCAATGTCTCTGTCACACTCTCCTCTCTTTCTTTGCTCTGCTCACAGTCATGCAGCATGTGCTCTATCGTCTCTCGCCCTTCTCCACATATCCTACACATTCTCTCACCTTCGCTTACCCAAAACTTATTATTTCTTTCTTCATTTCCACACCTAAATCTCGCAATTATTATTTTTTCTTTCGCCCTTTCTCTGTCTAGGTACCTTGGTATTGTTTCTGTTATTATCTTTCTATAGTCTGCATTGTACCTAGAATTACTTACACTCGCTCTTCTTTCTTGTTTATCTATGTCTCTGTCACGCATACACAACTCTTCTCTCATACTCACCCCCATTTCTCTCTTTCTCTCTATTTCCATCCATGCGTATCCCAGTCTTTCATAATATCCTTGTCTACCCTTGTGATGTTCTTTCCCTGCTTCCTTTTTTTTCCTTCCAGCATTCATACAATATCCTACATTCCTCTCTTTCTTTCAACCTTTCATCATACTTTACAGCTCTTTTCCCAGTGTATACTCTTAGTTTCTCTCGTTTACATTCTTCTCTTACTATATAGCCTGGCGTCTCTTTCCGTAGCCCTAACATCCACCTCAAATATTTTTCTTGTACTGCTTCAATATCTGCATATTTCTTCCATCCCCATATCTCCACTCCATACATTAATACACTCCTAACTAAACTATCAAACATTTTCATCCTTCTTCTTACGTCATGTCCAAATATTCTCTCACCTATATTCCACACCATTCCCATTATCTGCATTACTTTGACCCTTCTTTCTCTTATGTGTGCTTTTACCGTGTTAGTTGTTGTAAACTTAAATCCTAAATATTTAAACTCCTTTACTGTGTCTATGATTCGATCTCCCCAACGCCACACTTTTTCCTCCCCTTTTTCTCCCTTTTTTTCTAAACACCATCATTTCTGTTTTTTCTACATTTACCTCCAGTTTCTTTCTTTTAAAGTATCTTTGCAGATTTTGTTTCATCTCATTCATTCCACATTCATCCTTCGCCAATATTACCAAATCATCTGCAAATGCCAAACACCATATCTTTTCTCTCCCCACCACAATTCCTCCCGCTTGTACTCCTCTAAACATTTCCTCGATATCGCTTATGCAAGAAGCAAACAGACTGGGACTTAATGGGCATCCTTGTCTCAATCCTTTCGTCGTCCAAAACATTTCGCTTTCTATTCCTCGCACTCTCACACTAGTCACTGTCTCTCTATAAATCTCTCTTGCTGCTACAATTACTTTTTCACTCAGTCCTCTTCTTTCCATGCATTCCCACAAGCACTCTGTCCACCGTATCAAACGCGGCTTTTAGGTCTACAAACAGTGCATATACCCGACCTCTTTCCTTTAGCATCTTTTTTTCTATTAGATGATGCAGGATATATACATTGTCCATAGCCCCTCTACCTCTTATAAATCCCACTTGACTTTTCGATAATATACTCTTTCGTTCATCTCTGTCATCAACCTTTCATTTAACACCATTGCGTACAGTTTATATGCCGTATTTAGAAGAGTTATTCCCCGATAATTCTCTACTTTTTCTTTACTACGCTTTTTATGAATTTTTCCTACTCTCCATTCCCTGGGAAAACCTTTCCCGTCCACACATAATTCATTAACTGGCGCAATCTTTCAATCATCCCATCCATCCCAAATATCCACACTTCGTTTACCAACCCATCCCTCCCAGGTGCTTTTCCCCTTTTCAGTCTTCCTACTTGTTTTCCTACTTCCTCTACTCGAATCTCCGCTTCCCTTTCTCTACCACCAATCCCGGTT